TTTGAAGACCTCTGGAGCAAAAAGACACATTACTTACAGGGGAACAAGGACAAGAATCACCACAGACTTCTCACTGGAGACTGTGTAAGCCGGAGATAGTGCAGTCATATCTTTAAAGTGCTGAAAGAAACAGACTGTCGATCTAGAATTCTGTACACACAAACCCAAAGGAAAGGTGACAAGGCAAACATGTCCTCTCCTGCCGCTTCTCCTCAACACTGAACTGGAAATTAGCTCCAAGGAAGTTAGGCCAGCAAAAGAAATAAAACATATTATATTGGAAAGAGGAATAAAGCTATCTCTGTTCACAGGTGACATGATCCTGAACATTGAAAATCATTAGAAATCCAATTCCATAAAGTATCAGAACTTAAAACCCAGCGTGACAGTGTCCCAGCACGTGAGCTCATCCACACCGGCAATGGAAACCCTAAAAATGCAATCAGGAAAACAGTGTCATCTGCAGTAATGGCGGAATTAATAAAATGCTTAGGAATAAACTGAGCAAAAGAAATGTAAGACTTGTACCGAAACATTATTGAACAATATTAAAGACGCGTTTATAGGTCAGAAGACTTCCCATTAAGCTGGTAGATCTCCCCAAACAGCTGCACAGATTCAGCACCATCCCTGGCAGCCTTTGCAAAAACTGACAAGCTGATACTAAAATGTGTATGGCAATATAAAAATAATTAATAGTAAGAGCCGGGTGTGGTGCTGCGCGCCTGTAGTCCCAGCCACTCAGGAGGCTGAGGCAGAAAAATCGCTTGAATCCGGGAGGCAGAGGTTGCAGTGAGCCGAGATTGAGCCACTGCACTCCAGCCTGCCTGACAGAGTGAGAGTGTGTGTGTGTGTGTGTGTGTGTGTGTGTGTGTGTGAGAGAGAGACAGAGAGAGAGCGTGCGGGGGTGTGGAGGGGGAAGAAAGGAAAGAAGGGCGGGAGGGAGGGAGGGAGGGAGGAAATGAAGTTTTTTGTTTTGTGGTGTTTGAGATGGGGTCTCACTCTGCTGCCCAGGTGGAGTGCAGTGGTGCAATCGTTGCTCATTGCAACCTCAATCTCCTGGACTCAAGCGACCCTCCCACCTCTCTCTGCCTCCCCAGTAGCTGGGACTACAGGCGCGCACCCCCACACCCAGCTAATTTTGAAATTGTGCGTAGAGATGGGGCCTCACTGTGTTGCTCACTGTGGTCTCAAACTTCTGGGCTTAAGCAGTCTTCTACCTCAGTCTCCCAAAGTGCTGGGACTGTGGCTGTACGCCACTGCATCTAGCCAAGAAAATGGGTTTTTAACTAAAAAACTTTCAACACAGAAAACTTCTGACGAAAATAGTTTCAGTGGCAGCTGTACCAAACCTTTAAGGAAGAAATAATACCAGTTCTGCTCAACTTCTCACAGAAAATTAAAGAGGAGTGAACACTTTCCCAACTCAGTGTGCGAAGGCAGCATTATTCTGATATCAAAACCAAAGACATCTCAAGATTTAAAAACTACAGGGCCGGGCACGGTGGCTCAGACCTGTAATCCTAGCACTTGGGAGGCTGAGACGGGTGGATCACTTGAGGTCAGGAGTTCAAGATCAACCTGACCAACATGGTGAAACCGTGTCTCTACTAAAATAAAAAAGTTAGCCAGGCGTGGTGACATGTGCCTGTAATCCCAGCTACTCAGGAGGCTGAGGCAGGAGAATCACAAACCTGGGAGGCGGAAGTTGCAGTGAGCCGAGCTTGTGCCACTGCACTCCAGCCTGGGTGACAGAGTGAGACTCCGTCTCAAAATCAGAGTGTAAGCGTTCGGTGCGTTGGCCATCTTTTCCCATGGGTTCCTCTCCTTTGCCTTCCCCCAAGTCTTCCTCAATCTTGATAGTCGTGTTCCTGTTTTGAATTTGATCTGCTGTACCTTTTTAAATTCAGAGGGATTGAAAATAAGACTCAGCCCTAGGGCCGCCAGACTCCCCAGATAAGGATTTACCCTAAAACTGCGTTAAACTGCTACTTTCCCAAAAGTCTTCTTGGGACCCTCTCATCTTTCTTTGTTCCTGAGCCCCAAGTTTTTCTTTGCAACATGAAGGGCGTTGTTTTTCTTTGGCTTTCAGTGATGCGTCTGTGGGAGGCTTCAGAATCGTAATTGGTTTCTGTCTGAGTGGAAGCCAGGAGGTGTGAGGAGCCAGGGGTGTCAAGGTCCTCATCAGAACAGGATCAGCAGCACCCGACACCACACCGCAGCCTCCGGGAGCTCTGTTTACAGGGAGGATCGGCCCGCGCTGGGCCAGGGCCCTTGTTCACTGGAAAGCTTTTATTCAGCCTGAAGAGAACGCAGTGGAGAGGACGTGACAGCCGATGAAGAGCCGCCGCCCTGCGAAGCCATCTGTACGCGGTCTCAGTTGCCGCCTCCGTCCTGAGTGGCGGTCACATCCTGGCTTCCCGGCGTGGGCGCCTGCGTCTTCCATGGCATCTCTGCCTTCTCCCAGCCTCTCCATCCACTGGCTCACTCCTGCCTCACGCTGCAGCTCCACTCCTGCCCGTGCTTGTCCTGTGACCCACGTGGTCATAGCTGGCTGTCCCGAGACACGCTGGGGGTGGTTCGAGAAGCGTGTTCCCATTCAGAAAATCTCTTCTCCGCTCAGCAAGGGCTGTAAGGGAAGGCTGTGGGCTCTGCCCTTGGGCTCAGATTAGGGAAGTGGCAGCCCCCTACCCCTGGAGGCCACGTTCCTGGGCTGGGAGAGGGCCCTTGCAGTGCCATAGCAACAGGACAGGTGCCAGTCCACCTGAGACCCCGCGGCTCCTGTCTCCAGGCGTCCTCGTGCCCCCCGTTCGGGCATGGGCTCCCTCTCCACCTTGCGGCCGTCGGCTTTGCCATCTACGGAGCTGACGCCCTGAAGCTGCCCCATGTCTGCCCCTCCACATCGGGATTCCTTGCCCGAGCTCAGGCCAAGGACCTGGAATTCCCACTGGGTTCCTCTGCCTTCCTGCTCTAAAGTGTCTTTTGGACTCTTCCTCTAATTTATTCCCAGAGAAACCTGAGTCTCATGAAAGTGCAGTCTCTCTGTTCCTGCACGGCTTTGAGTCTTTGGGTTTTTTCTTATGACTGCTCCACGTTATTGGCCATTTGTCATTTCTTTTCTAATAAGCTCAGGGTTGCCGTAAAGTGAAACCAGCTGTTGAGAACCCACAATGTATCCCATTTGCCATTGTGGGGTTGTTTATAAACCAAAAAAGTTGCGGAGGGAGCCGCTTGACACCTTCGGTCGTTCTTGCTTCTGGGTTTGGATGTCATTTTCGGTGTGTTGTTGTCGGGGGCGGTTTTGTGCCTTTTAAGAAGAAAAGGAAGGAAGCAGAGTGGCAAAATGCCAGGAACGGAGCCACGGCCAGCCGCGGGCACAGGGTCAGAAGCCGGCTCCGGGCTCTGCCTGTCTGTTCTGTGATCAGAGCTGACACAAAGCACTGGAGCCCGAACCACAAAGAGCGTTCTGTAAACATTTGCACATAATAACCACCTACAGTGACCTCCTAGAACTCCGCGTGTGGAAACCGTCTTCCTCCCCAGCCGCATTTACATGTGGAGACAAACACAGCCGTGCGTGCTGGTCCTTCAGTCCACTTCTATCGGAGAAAGCAGCTTTTTCCTTTGTCGAGGAAAAAAAGTTGCTTTTATCCAAAAGGAAATGGGGTTCTTATCTTGTTTATTTCATTTCGTTTACATTTTGGGTCTTCACAAGTCGTAGTTTCTTAGCAAGGAGCAGACTCAGCCAGACTGACTGGCCGGCATACCTGCTTAAGGAAATGCACGTGCGTGACCCGCACACGTGGCCGTCCTCCTGCAGAAAGTCAATTAAACCCTGGCTAGTATTCGCCAAGTGTAGACCTCTCTAGACGCTGAATGTGCACACCCAACCCACATGTGCGTGCACACACACAGACACATGCGCGCACACGCGCACACACACACGCACGCATAGGTCCTGAAGCAAGGACCTTTGCTCAGGGAAGAGAGGGCAGCAGCATGTCCAGCGTCTGCGTGTTTCAGGCGAAAATAAACCTGGTCTTTCTGAAGCCGTCTCGTTAGCAAAGGGCACTGAAGTTCTCACGAGTTAGTTTGACCTCAGCCAGGCTTGCCCCTCGGCACCCTCCTAGCTCTTCCACCGTGGGGAGCCTAGCGGCACCCCCCTGCTCCCCAGGAAGGTCCCACATCCTGTCGGGGCCCGGCCTGGCCTCGCAAGAGGCCGTCTTCCTTCTGCCTCGTAAGCTCCCTCGTCGTCCAGCCAGCTGCCTGTGTCCCTTTGGCGTCAGCGGGAGAATACAGGCAGTGTCTCCTGAGCGCGCCTGCCTCCTGGTTGCATCCTCAGTGTTCCAAGCAGCACTTCGGTGCCCCTGCCCTGCTGCTCAGCACTGACCTCGGTGCCCCCCGCTCCCTGGGGACGCGTCTCCCAAGGCCCTGCTCCCTGTCATACACCTGTCAGCCTCACCTACAGGCTGCTTGAGAAAGGGTCTCAGAGCCCCCACCCTAGTGAACACAGGAAAGGAGAGCACCTGTCCCAGCTCCGGGAAGGGGCCAGCATGTGTTTCGTAGCAGACTCAGGACCCACCAACGGCCTGTGCGTCAGGCGCGCTGCCCGGCACAGAAGCCCACAGGCTCCATTCAGCCTTGGAGAAAGAGGCACCTTTACCCAAAACTCACTGCAGCCAGCCCTCCGTGTCCACAGGTGCCACCTCCGCGGATTCAGCCAATTTTGGATGAAAAATAAATTTAAAATAACAGTACCACAAAAAGCAATCTAAATTTTAAAAATACAGGATAGCAGCTATTTCACAGCCTCTACCCTGTGTCAGGTGCGGTGAGCAGGCTAGCGAGGGTCCGAGGTGTGGGGAGGACCCTGCTGCCCCCACGGGGCCACACCCTTTCATTCAGGGCTGAGCCTCCCGGGTTTTGGCATCCGAGAGGTCCTGGAACCCACCCCCGCCCCGATACCGAGGGGCATAACTGGGTGTTTTCTGTTGTTGAAGATCCCAGAGGAGCACGACCTGGAGAGTCAGATCCGCAAGGAGCGGGAGTGGCGGTTCCTGCGGAACAGCCGCGTCCGGAGGCAGGCCCAGCAAGTCATCCAGAAGGGTAAGGCGCCGCACAGCCAGCCAGGGGCTCGTTCCAGGGCTGGGGGCTGGGGGAGGGCCCCGTGAGCAGGCCCCGTGCGGCCCACACACAACCTTCTCCCACCACCACTGTCCCCCTGCCTCCCCCGCAGATAAGCACGTTTAAGGCTGGTGGAGATGACAGGCTCCTCCTCAAGGTCCTGCAGCCCAGAGTGGGGAGGGGGGCAGGGCCAGGTGGGTGCACAGCCGCCACGGGGAGGAGGGCTCTCCCAGCACTCTGCCTCTCCCAGCCCTCGGGGCGATGAGCACAGGTGGACTCATAGAAGCAGAAAGTGGCTCGTTGACATTTCCGGAAGGGAAGGCCTCAGAGTCCACGTCTCCCCACGTGGACAGGTGTCTTTGTGCAGGCTCCACGGTTGGCGTGTCCTTCCTTGGGAACAGAAAGTGGAAATGGCAGGCCCTGGTTTCCTCAGGTGGTCTCCACCTTGTCCCTGGAACAGTGGCTAGCTCTGTCACACCACACTTGAGTCACGATTTTCCCAAACCTCCCCGAGTTGCCACCAGATGCCGAATCGCCCCCTTCGTCTGCCTCGTTGTTTGCCCTCCTGGCTGCGCCCGGGGTGGAGGGCCAGGGAGGAGCCCAGGAGTGGGGCGTGTGCGGAGGGAGCTCTGGAGGAGATCTCGGCAGCGGGGAGGCCCTGAGAGTCAACACAGCAATGAGGGTGTCAGGCAGCCCCACACCAGGGACCCTGGCCTCTCCCCAGGATCCAGTACAGCACTGGGGTCCAGGCCCAGCCCTGCACGTCCCCCACCCCTGCCGAGGGCACTGAGGGCACAGAGCAGCAGTGGTGTCTCTGCACTCCACCCCCACCCCGTGACCACGGGCTCCCACCACTGAGCCAGCCCTGGCTGGGGGACCTCAAGCCACCCCCAACCAAATCAGCCCCATCGGAATTCAACAACACTGACCCCAGTCTGCGTGTTGCCTGTTCTGAACTTGCATCTCTGTCCTGTAAAATTCTGGGGATTATTATGGGTTACTTTCTAAAGCTGGGGTTGATGACCTGTAAGACAGATGCCGTCCCTCCTGCTGAAGCCGAGGGCCCTGCCAGCTTTGTGCAAGCCCCGCCCACAGGCAGCAGGGTGCCATGGGCTGGTCCTCAGGAAGCATGCCTGGGCCGGCTCACACCTCTGCCCTGCTGAGCACCGAGGAGAGTGCTGACTTCTGGGACCAGCAAAATTTCTGCAGCGCGTTCCCATCCAGCTCTCCCTGTAAAGGCGTGGGGTTCATCTCGCACTCACGCAGACGGTGGCTGTGGTCCCGAAGCTCATCACGGTGCTTTGTAGCCCTCTGCGCGTCTGAAGAGCTGGCGGCTGACCAGGTTTACAGCATCCCATGTTGGGCGTTTAAAGCATCCCATGTTTCATGCTGCCTCAGCCTCCGCCGCTGAGCTGAACCCTGCGGCCAGGGCAGCTTTCTCCAGCAGAGAACATGCGACCCTGCTGGCTGGGCGTCTCCGGGTGGCGGCGACAGGAGGCTGTTTTCCTGGAGGTTGGTGGCTCCCTAGGACCCCGGCCCGCTGGCTGGGATGGCCAGCACCCGGGGGCTGCCTGCTGCCTGAGACAGGCTTGGGAGCTGAGTCCGGCTCACACAGGACAGCGTCGGAAGATGAGCTGCCCCTGACGCCCAAGGTCACGCCCTGGCCTGGAGGCTGTGGTCAGAATTGAGCGGGGCGTGAGACAGAGCTGGCGTTCAAGACACAAAACCAAGGTTTCTAAACTAAAACAATCCTCGTAAAGCAGAGATGGGAGTTCTCTTTGTGAAAAAAGGAGATCTGTTGTCCAGACACACAGGGAGGGGCTGCTGAGCCAGTGGAGACGCCCGCACAGGAGGCCTCAAGACGCAGAGGGCGGTGCCAGTGGACGTGGCACCGGGGGCCACGAGGAATGAGGCCGCACCCTCCTCCCGGGCCTGCTGTGCACAGAATTCAGATTCAGGCACACGTTGTTTTTACTTGACAGCCAACGGTGTGCTGGGCAAGATGTGAGCGTTGAGAAAAAGGAGAAGCTGTAGATGCCGGTAGATGGAAGAGAGTTAGCCAGAGAAAGTCAGCGTCGCCCAGGAGATGGGATTGGGAAGCCCTGGGTCTTTCCGGCCCTGGCCCGGCTCTTCACCTTCCCCTGGGCGACAGCCACGGCTGTGGCTGTCACGCACTGATTCTGCACACGTACAAAATGTGTGGGCTGGGCGGGGTTTCCCTTTGTCTTTCGGTGCTTAGAATTACGCCCAAGCTCTCTGCAGGACTCCCTGATCGATGCCCTCCAAACACTCCCTGCAGCTGAGAGTGAAGGTGCCCCTAGAGTAACTCAGGGTTCTGCCACACCGGAGCCTTCTGCTGGCCTCTCAGTGCAGCCCCTGCTGATGACACGTGGCATTCACCTCCTTTCTGTGGTCTGGGTGCTTGCTGTTTAAGGACAGGAGCTGGGGACTGACAGTATTGGAAACGGTAGCTCACCCAAGGTGCTGAGCACACCAAGTGCCAGCGAGGTTTCAACCCGCAGACACCGTGGCCCCGATGCCACCTGGACAGTGCCAGGCACAGGCGGAGGGGCTGTCAGCTGCTGGGACAGGGGGGTGGGTCGTGGCCTTGGCTGTGTGTAAGCCCAGCTCAGGGCGGCCTGCAGTGGAGTGCCCACGTCTCACCACTTTGACCTTGCGCCCCAAGGGCAGGCTCCTTCTGCTGTAGGACTTTCTCTTTAGTTCAGCTAAACATGGGGTCCCTGTCCACGACCACGAAAACTTAGGCTCCCAGACACGTTGAAGGGTGAGAAGGGCAGGGTTGACTGGGTGAAAAGGAAAAAGGGGAAACGTCATCTCCGCAAAGCCAGAGTCTTGCTGGTGCGCTTCCCGCCTCGCAGATTGAGTCCCAGGCTCTACCCCGGATCCAGAGAGGCCGGGCTCCTCCCACTGCAAAGGGCATGAAATTCTGTGGCGCCCACTGTTCTCCCAGTGTGCAGACTGGTGGAGTTGCTCTGCGGACCCCTTTATACTTGGCTGTCTCACTTCCTGCTAGAGCACAAGCGCACCACTCCCCAAAAGGAAAACTTGGGGCCCGCCACGATCCTCCAGGCTAGACCAGTTCAGCGGAGGACGTGGTTGGTAAGAGCCAGGCGGCTTCACTCCACACCACCTGGAGCTGTGTCGCCAGCTGAGGAAGGCTTGGGGTCTCCAAGACGCCCCCCTGGTTGCCCAGAGCCATGCAGGTGACTGCGGCCGAGGCCGGGAGGCGGCAACAGACGATCAAGCTTATGCACCCACAGACGGCCAGCCGCTCTGAACAAATCTCGGCTCAGTCACTAAGATGTGTTGGAATCTTGACCCCTCTGTGTTTTTAGCTTCCTTTTATGGTTCCTGCTAGAACAAAGCCTTTCAAAGTCATGAGGGAGGGACTTACTTCCTAGTAAGTCTTCCTGGTATTTGGGGGCCTGGTGATCAGGTCCACTTCCCCTCTTCTGTTAAACGTGTGGTTCTGTAGTAGATCCCTCCATCAAGGAAGCTCATAGTTGCGATCTTTCTAGACTGAAAGACCCCGACTCTGGCTGCGATGTGGACTATGGCGGCCGCACCTGTGTCTCCATCTCAAGTCTGTTAGGAATTAGAGCCCTATTGAGCTGCGTTCTGAAACCTTCGGCACTTTCTTCATATAATCCAACGCAGATAAATGTACAGGAACACAAGCACCACTGCCGAGCTTCGCCGAACTCTTCCACGAATCCGGCCCGGCATCGGGAGCTTTGGGGCTTCTGAGCAAGGGCATGGACCGTGCGGCCAGCACCCCGGGCCCTCACCAGGAACTCAGTGGCCACCGTCCCCGCCGAAGGCCCAGGTGTGCCTGCACCTCGGCAGGTGGTCAGGCCCCTCCCTTCACTCTGCTTTTCTTCTGCTTCCTTTGTAGCTCTCCAAGTCCCCAACCAAGTCCCCAAGGTATTGATGGCATGATAAGATACATCGTGAATATTTATTATAAATTTAGACTGGCTTGTTGGGCACGGTGGCTCACGCCTGTAATCCCAGCAATTTGGGAGGCTGAGGTGGGTGGATCACCTGAGGTCAGGAGTTTGAGGCCAGCCTAGCCAACATGGTCAAACCCTGTTTCTACTAATAAAAATTAGCCGTGCGTGGTGGCGGACACCTGTAATCTGAGCTACTCAGGAGGCCGAGGCAGGAGGATCGCTTGAACCCGGGAGGCGGAGGTTGGAGTGAGCCGAGATCACGCCACTGCACTCCAGCCTGGGCAACAAGAGGGAAACTCCATCTCAAAAACAGGAAAAAAAAAAAAAAAAAAAACCAAAAGACTGGCTACTGGCTGGGTGTACGCTTGTAATCCCAACACTTAGGGAGGCCAAGGCGGGAGGATCGCTGGAGCCCAGGAGTTTGAGACCACGCTGCGCAACCTAGTAAGATCCTGTCTCAACAGCCAAAAAGTAGCCAGGTGTGGTGGCGCACGCTCTAGCCCCGGCTCTGTGGGGAGGTGAGGCCCGAGGATCGCTGGAGCAGGAGGCGGAAGCTGCGGTGACCTGTGATCACATCAGTGTACTCCTGCCCTGGCGATGGAGCAGGACTCTGTCTTTAAAAAGTAGGAAAAGGGGAACAGGCGCTGGCTCCTGGATCCACGCTTGTGTGTTTGTTTTGACAGGCATCACGAGATTGGACGACCAGATATTTCTGAACAGGAACCCCGGCGTTCCCTCCGTGGTGAAATTCCACCCCTTCACCCCGTGCATCGCCGTAGCCGACAAGGACAGCATCTGGTATGCACCGCGCTCGTGGGGCCCTACTTCCAGCTGACTAACAGCCCCAGTGACGCCCCATTCACCCCCCAGCACCGCTCCTCTTCCCTGAAAAGCAGATCAAGGCACTCACCCGGGGCCCTTAGCACCATTTCCCAAGAAATACCCAACTCACCTTCTCCTCGATGATGGAGCCACACACACACGCACGCCATGCCTGGCTCTGTCCTTGTCACTGAAGGACAGTCCAGAGTCCTGCCTGCAGGTCACAGGGGAGTGGCAGGGGCTCCCCGATCACACTTGTAATAGAGGCGCGCCCAGGGGCCCCGGCTTGCTGCCCTGTCTGCAGAAGCAAGTGTGTGACAGAGAAGCAGTCATAAGTGACACCAGGTGCCCCGAGAGAAGCGGGTTTAGTTCTCAGCCAGTGTCACCCTTACGTAGTGGAGAGAGTGCCCGCCTCGTGGGGGAGGTTCTTTTTAATAGCTCATGAAATCCCTGTGGTTCGTACCTCTGTTTGTTTTTCCTCTTTTTAAAAACTGTGGTCAAACATACATCGCATACAATTTGCTATTTTAACCGTCAAGTGTGCAGCCAGTGGCGTTCAGCGCATTCACACTGTTACAGAACCAGCACCCACACTGGTCTCCGGAACCTTCTCATCACACAAACCGAAGCGTGGTCCCATCAGGCCCCAGCTCCTCCACGTGCCCCCGACCCAGTGTTCTACTTGCCCTCTCTCTGAAGTGGCCCCCGCTAGGAGCCTCATACCAGTGGAGTCCCTGGGGGTGTGGCCCCTTTTGCCTGCCTTATTGGACTCAGCGTACTGTCTTCAAGTTTCTCCCAAGCTATAGTACATGGCAGAATTTCCTTTTCACGGCTGAGTAGTATTCCACCATGTGGATGGCCCATGCTACGTCTGTCCGCTCACCTGTTCATGGACACCAGGGTCGCTTCCACCTTTTGGCTATTGTGAATAGCACTGCTGTGAACATTGGTGTACAAGTGTCTGTTCAAGTTCCTGCTTTCAGTTTTTTGGGGATGTGCCCAGAGCAGAATTGCTGGACCATCTGACAATGCTCTGTTTAATTTTCAGAGGAGCCGCCAGGCTGTGTTCACAGGGCTGCACCCTCTTCCCTTCCCACGGGAGAGCACGTGGGCGCCCGTTTCCCACATCCTTGCCAGCACCGTTACTCTGTGTTTGGACACAGGGTCTCACTTTGCTGTCCGGGCTGGTCGTGAGCTCCCAGGTTCCGACAGTTCCCCTGCCTCCGCCTCCCGAGTGGCTGGGACGGCAGGTGCGGGCCCGTGCACGGCTGCGGGGTGCGGTTTTACAGCCGCCGTCGCCCTGGGTC